AAGACAAGAGAGAGAGGGGTGGATAGACTGCATTTTCTTGGACTGCAAGGCGGCCTTCAACACAGTTCCTCACAAGAGGTTACTGCAAAAGCTAGAGGATCAGGCACACATAACAGGAAAGGCACTACAATGGATCAGAGAATACCTGACAGGGAGGCAACAACGAGTCATGGTACGTGACGAGGTGTCAGAATGGGCACCTGTAACAAGTGGGGTTCCACAAGGGTCAGTCCAAGGACCTCTGCTGTTTTTGGTATATGTGAATGACATAATGGAATGGATAGACTCAGAAGTGTCCTTGTTTGCAAATGATGTGAAGTTAATGAGGAGAATTAAATCGGTCGAGGATCAGGCAGGACTACAAAGCGACCTGGACAGGCTACAAGCCTGGTCCAGCAACTGGCTCCTTGAATTTAACCCTGCCAAATGCAAAGTCATGAAGATCAGGGAAGGGCAAAGAAGACCGCAGACACAGTATAGTCTAGGTGGCCAAAGACTGCAAACCTCACTCAAGGAAAAGGACCTTGCCATGAGTATAACACCGAGCACGTCTCATGAGGCGCACATCAATCAGATAACTGCTGCAGTGTACGGGCATCTAGCGTTCCGATACCTTAGCAAGGAATCATTTAAGACCCTGTACACCATTTACGTCAGGCCCATACTGGAGTATGCAGCACTAGTTTGGAATCCACACCTGGTCAAGCACGTCAAGAAATTAGGGAAAGTGCAAAGGTTTGCAACAAGACTAGTCCCAGAGCTAAGGGGACTGTCCTACAAAGAAAGGTTATGGGAAATTGGCCTGATGACACTGGAGGACAGGAGGGTCTGGGAGACATGATAACGACATATAAAATACTGCGCGGAATAGACGAGTTGGACAAAGACAGGATGTTCCAGAGATGGGACACAGAAACAAGGGGTCACAATTGGAAGTTGAAGACTCAGATGAGTCAAAGGGATGTTAGGAAGTATTTCTTCAGTCATAGAGTTGTCAGAAAGTGACGTAATGGAGGCGGGAACCATATACAGTGGACCCCCGGTTAACGATATTTTTTCACTCCAGAAGTATGTTCAGGTGCCAGTACTGACCGAATTTGTTCCCATAAGGAATATTGTGAAGTAGATTAGTCCATTTCAGACCCCCAAACATACACGTACAAACGCACTTACATAAATACACTTACATAATTGGTCGCATTCGGAGGTGATCGTTATGCGGGGGTCCACTGTATAGTTTTAAGACAAGGTTTGATAAAGCTCATGGAACAGGGAGAGAGGAGACCCAGTAGCAATCAGTGAAGAGGCAGGGCCAGGAGCTATGACTCGACCCCTGCAACCACAAATAAGTGAGTACAAATAGGTGAGTACACACACACACACACACACACACACAAAATATATCCCATACTGGATGAATTCCAAACTTTCATTCTCCTAACATGCAAAAGTGAATTATTGGTACATTAAAATTTTCATTACATGATGCATAAGCTACTCATTGCTATATATTATATCCTATTTAATCATTTTTTTATAAAACATTACCTAAAAATTCTAATTTAAAAAATCCATGTTGTCAAGTTAAAATGTTTTACACTGATATTTAATTTAATGCTGAATTTCCATGTTTCATGGTCATCATTACAATACAGTGGAACCTCGACTTACGAATTTAATCCGTTCCGTGACCTTGTTCATATCCCAATTTGTTGGTATGCTGAATCAATTTTCCTCATTTAAATTAATTTAAATGGCATCAGTCCATTCCAGCGGAATTCCTGCTCTTAGGAGGCACGAGAAAATACTTCAATATGATGCTAATATCAACTCTACGGCTTATTTATATATCACAATTCATCTAATTTCACCATCACTCAAGGAATGCACAACAGGTGCATCATTGTCAGTGTTCAGCAGTTTTCCGATGTCAACTTCCTGTAACTCCATTAGTACACAGTCAAGATGAGTAAATAGAATTGTCAACGCTTATTGCTTGGGTACGTTTATTCTGTTAGTGGGTTGGATCTGTGAAGGACCTGCCTAGTATGGGCCAAGAGGCCTGCTGCAGTGTTCTTCCGTTCTTATGCTCTCATGCTGATGAGTGGAACAATCTGCCTAGTATGGTTATTGAGGTTAAAACCTTGGGTAGTTTTAAATATGTGTTGGATAAATAGGTGAGTGAGAGGGGTTGGATGTGAGTGGGAGCTGCACATGAGTAAATAGAATTTTTTTTTTTTTCAACAAGTAGGCCGTCTCCCACCGAGGCAGGGTGACCCAAAAAAAAAAATCCCCAAAAAGAAAATACTTTCATCATCATTCAACACTTTCACCTCACTCACACATAATCACTGTTTTTGCAGAGGTGCTCAGAACACAACAGTTTAGAAGCATATACGTATAAAGATACACAACATATCCCTCCAAACTGCTAATATCCCGAAACCCCTCCTTTAGAGTGCAGACATTGTACTTCCCATTTCCAGGACTCTAAGTCCATCTATATAAAAATAACCGGTTTCCCTGAATCCCTTCACTAAATATTACCCTGCTCACACCCCAACAGATCGTCAGGTCCCAAATACCATTCATCTCCATTCACTCCTATCGAACACACTCATGCACGCCTGCTGGAAGTCCAAGCCCCTCGCCCATAAAATCTCCCTTACCCCTTCCTTCCAACCTTTTCGAGGATGACCCCTATCCCGTCTTCCTTCTCCTACCGATTTAAATGCTCTCCATGTCATTCTACTTTGATCCATTCTCTCTAAATGACCAAACCACCTCAACAACCCCTCTTCAGCCCTCTGACTAATACTTTTATTAACTCCACACCTTCTAATTTTCACACTCCGAATTTTCTGCATAATATTTACACCACACATTGCCCTTAGACAGGACATCTTCACTGCCTCCAACCGTCTCCTCGCTGCAGCATTTACCACCCAAGCTTCACACCCATATAAGTGTGTTGGTACTACTATACTTTCATACATTCCCTTCTTTGCCTCCATAGATAACTCTTTTTGACTCCACATATACCTCAACGCACCACTCACCTTTTTTCCCTCATCAATTCTATGATTAACCTCATCCTTCATAAATCCATCCGCCGACACGTCAACTCCCAAGTATCTGAAAACATTCACTTCTTCCATACTCCTCCTCCCCAATTTAATATCAAATTTTTCTTTATTTAAATCATTTGATACCCTCATCACCTTACTCTTTTCTATGTTCACTTTCAACTTTCTACCTTTACACACACTCCCAAACTCATCCACTAACCTTTGCAATTTTTCTTTAGAATCTCCCATAAGCACAGTATCATCAGCAAAAAGTAACTGTGTCAATTCCCATTTTGTATTTTATTTCCCATAATTTATGATTATCAAAGCTTATTGCTTGGGTAGCATTGAAAATTAAGTTGGGTAAATATTCTGTTAGTGGGATGGATTATGAAGGATCTGCCTAGTATAGGCCAACAGGCCTGCTGCAGTATATTATTATTAGTACGTATGTATTATAATAATAATAATAATAATTATTATTATTATTATTAATTTAGGGAAGTGGAGCACAGATCCAGTTCCTTTGATCAAGAGCCCCTCACCAAGGAACCTCCCTTGAGGGGGAAGTTCACATCTTGAAATATCGTTCGTATCCAGAAGCAAAAAATCGATTGAATCACTGTTTGTATCCTGAAAAATTCACATGGTGGGGCATTCGTAAGCCGAGGTTCCACTGTACGTGTATTTTATTTGCTACACCGTGACTTGTAATGTGAATTTTTTATATCTTTCTTAAACCTTCAGTAGCCTACTCGCAATTTAATACTCAACAAAAATCTTGGTGCCCAATCATGTATTTTCAATAAATCACTCCACAAAACATTCAAAATTCTAATATTTACCCATTATTTTATTTATTCTTCAAATCTTAATGTACATGTAATGAAATAAATATTCCTTTTGTAATGATTCCAGTCTAACTCATATGTGAACCATTTAGTAGTACTTTTTTAATCTCTCTTCTGTGCCTTGGTATACCCTTTATAATGCTATTTTGGCTCTAAATAAAAGAAATAAAGTTCCATTTATAAATGCTTACAGATATCTTACCCTACTGTCCCTCTGGCTTCTGAAAAATTCTAACTTTTCTAACATGTGTAGCAAAGTTGAAAAATTCCAAATAGTACTCATTCCATTTCTTGCATGCAATAACTGTTGTTGCTAACTGCTTAATCATTAACTCACCTATTACTTCATGACTTTCTCTTAATCCTGTAACCATACTCTAACAAAATTTTAATAGTATGCAAGTGAAAGACTTGATCTAAGGAGTTAGAGCTTCCCTCCCTTTCCTCAGATCTAACTGACTGCATCTGATTTCCAAGACAGTGTATAATCCTTATGGGTTTAGCCCTCCCTGTAACTATATGTGAATATAATAAACATGTGTGAAGCTGTTTAGTAAGCATTGTTAAGATACCTTTATCAATCTCAAATTTTAAACAAACTTCTGACAACTATAAATCAATAAGAACCTTTAGAAGAAATTTAGCAAAATGTTCTAATCATCAGAAGTTTCCTTAGATAATGACTAGTATGGTTTTTGCTAATGGCTTTGAGTATTCCATAAGGTTCACCCCCCCTCTTCATGCATATCAATTGTTAAAAATTAAGAGCGGTGACAAGGACATATTTTTTATTGTCATAATCAAGTATGCAAGGTAGAAAAGCCTCTAAAATTATAAGTGTGTAAGGGAGGATTCAACCAGATGATGACTGTGAAAGTTAGAAGTAAGGTAGACAGTTTTAGCAGAAGACCAGTCAGTAGGATGACTGTGATCTCTGACATGACAGAAAAGAGCATTGTTGGTGTTGGCAAGCCTAACACTACTTATATGCTCCCCGAGTCTGGCAGTTCTCTTTCTGACAGACTCAGGGAGCACAAAAGTAGTGTTAGGCTCGCCGACACCAACAATGCTCTTTTCTGTCATGTCAGAGATCACAGTCATCCTATTGACTGGTCTTCTGCTAAAACTGTCTAGGCTACTTCTAACTTTCACAGATGCCATCTGGTTGAATCATCCCTTATACACAACTTTCCTTGTGTGAATCTTAGTCCTGGATTTGTCTCTGAAGATGCCCTCTTTCCCATTACATTGTAAAATGGTCCAAACTTCAGAATACCCGTGACTTAACCTGATTCTTTTTCCCCTTCTCCCTCTTTCCCTTTCCTCTTTCTCCTTTGGATTTTCTTTCTTCTGCCTTGGGTATTTGATCCATTAATACTTTTTCCTCCCCTGTGTTCTCTTTCTTAGTCTTTGACTGACTCCACTACTACTACTACCTTTAGCACGACCTCTCTTCTTCCTTTCCTACTACCTCTTTTGTCTCGTCCCTGTCTGCTGGCCTATATATACTCCCTCCTATCCTTTTTGTTAGTGTGACTTTGTAAATGGTCCAAGTTGGACTAAAATGTAGTCACAAGCCTTTTTGTTATTTCCTCCATACTCCCTCCTTCTAATCTGATATCCAATCTTTTACTACAAATCAGTCACGGTATTGTGCCTTTTTGTTATTTCCTCCATACTCTCTCCCTCTAATCTGATATCCAATTTTTTATTTAAAATTATTATTACTATTTTTATATTCATAGAGAAGCACTAAACCTACAGTATTTGAGGAATAGAAGGCAATCAGATTTCATCCAAAGAAGGGAAGGATAGCTTCAATTCCTCTGATCAAGAACCCTTCACCAATATCTAAGAATCTACCATGAAGTGAGATAGATCCAATACTATTTTTAGAGGAGAACAAGGAAACAATAGATATCTGTCCCACAGAAGCACCTAATGTTTTATGTCAAAAGATGTCTTCATAAACAGTATACAGTATGGAGCATTTTGAAGAAATAAACATTTTATGCTCTGACTTTATTAACCAATTCAATAGTAAAGGTCAAAAGACATCTTCATGGTTGATTCATTTTATACAAAAGGATATCATTCTAAGTACTGTATTATGTTCAAAGTTTTGATTGTTTAAAATATGTGCTGTCAATCTGAATGAAGTCATGTGGATGTTAACTTCAGAGAGAAGCCTTGATACTTGATAATATCTTCCTGACTTCAGTGATGAAAAAAAATAGTAAGAGAATGTTCCAAACTTTTTTTAATTAAAAATATTGCTGCAACATCAAAATAATGTGCCTCAAATCCCATTCTGAATTATAAGATTTACAGTAGTAAGATCAGCATGACTTCTTTTTGGTATAAGAATATAATGCACATCAATTTTCACCACAAAGTAAGTACAAGATGAAATGAGAATTCCACAAAATCATGAAAGTAGCAAACTGTTTAAGGAGCACTGGAGACCGCAGATCAACAACTGTACCACCATAGCAGCAGTGTGTATTCAACATATCGGTAATCCCATCTGTTGCTCAAAAAGAGGTAAGCCTTTCAGAAATTAAGTGCCTGTTGAATTTCATATGTCTACAGAGTGGTGCCTTGTTTCAAAGTGAAACAGGCACCAGGCAGAGAAGTATTGAAAGAGTAAATTGTACAGTATTTTTTACAGAAATGAGGGTGCTGCAGGATGTTCATGTAATACCGTAAACAGCATCCAGCGTTAGTTGCATTAACACTAAGGAATATCAAACAAATGCAAATATCATGAAATGCTAATACAAAGAAATTACTGGAGAGAAAATACCAAAATAAACTTCTTCTAAACTTCTTCTTTTATTTATGAATTCCACTAAAAATCATCACAAGTGTTTAATATAAATGGTATTAAGTAACCCTAAAATTAGAAGCTTTTCTTATTGCAGAGTTTAACACCAAAATTAATTATCAAATGTACTCAACATTAGCACAATTTCCAATCAAAATAAATGAGCAATGTCTCATATTGTAGATCTGAAAATTATGTATTGCTTTAATTTCACTTGAATACTTGATCAAAAATTTTCCTTTATTTTAAGCAATTATACTGAGTTACTGCATGAGAGTACTTTATATTAAACAGTTTTTAACAGTACCATCATCATATGATTAATGAAACAATATTTTCTTCTGTTTAGGAGTTTAGTATTTGTCTCATTGGTTGGTTCTTTCTAGCAATACTATATACTTTATTTGCTAAACTAACTCATGCAATTCTATAAAAAATCTAGAATAGTAAAGAGAATGCAGAAAGACAAAGTTAGTACATTATTTTTACTATTCTTGCCTTAAACTGCTATGTCCTTCACATAATGCAATTCAACTGCTAAAAGACTTCTATTTAAAAAAAAAAAATCTGTATTTCAACACATTTGTTCTTGTATTGTCCCCAGATCTTCACATCCTCATCCTGGTACACTAACTGGTCTAATGATGTCTGGCAACATCACTAACTATAGGAGGCTAAAACACTTGGTCCAGATACAGTATGTACGAAGATTTTTCAATTGTTTCTGCTTAAGTTGCATATAAGTTCTGAGGTTTTCTCCCATGTAGTATTATAATTTATCTTCCCTATTATGACTTTTTTTTTTATAAAATTGAAGAGCTTATCTTAGTTAGGCATTAATTGAAGTGGTATGCCTAGTATTTTTTGCAATACTCTCATCCTCTTGCTTTCCCCATCATGTTCATCAGAACAGTGTAGGAGAACTCTTCAGAAAATTTCTTTAGAATTAAATTTTATGAACTGCTAAAGGATGACAGATCTATCATTGATGAATATTATTTGTAAAGTAGTATTCACAATTTTTAATATATTTTTCAAATGCTACCTTATTCTTCTAATACAGTTAAATTACTTTATTAAATAATTATATCTTTCACCATTACTGTATTGGTATCTTTTATTTTCCCTTCTATCTCACTTACACAAAACCAACTGATGGAACACTTTCCTGGTGGTGTGTCAAGAAGCAGTGCTGGAGGAAGTGTTTGCAGTGGCAGTTGACTGGTTAAGGGGGCATGGTTTATCATCTGGATGCCCAACACATGCCACAACTGGTACATGCCCAGAATCCCACATTCCTGGGCCACAAAGTTCACACAGCCCCACCAGTGTGCAAGGCAAGTAGTTCATGCTTCGGTACTGATGAAGAAGACCCCGAGCCTGTGAACAAACCAAAAGGCAATAACTAAAGATACTAACCTGACAAGCTGTTGGAGTGTGAGCAGGGTAATATTTAGTGAAGGGATTCAGGGAAACCGGTTATTTTTATACAGCCGGACTTGAGTACAGGAAATGGGAAGTGCAATGGCTGCAGTTTAAAGGAGGGGCTTAGGATATTGGCAGTTTGGAGGGGTATGTTATGTATCTTTATATGTATATGTTTCTAAACTGTTGTGTTCTGGGCACCTCTGCAAAAACAGTGATTATGTATGAGTGAGGTGAAAGTGTTGAATGATGATGAAAGTATTTTCTTTTTGGGGATTTTCTTTCTTTTTAGGTCACCCTGCCTCTGTGGCAGACAGCCAACTTGTTAAAAAAAAAAACTAATGTCAAATGCAAAAATTAAGAATATCACTACAGTGACATCACAATATGCACCTGGTTTTGACTATAGTTGCTCATTTCATACAAAAATGAAATATGCCTATACAGTATGGTACAGTACCCTATTAAGATTTGGCATGAATATAATGCAGAGAATCTGTAGTTGGGAGATTAGGAGGAGGTGTGGGATTACCAAAACTATCATCCAGAGGGCTGAGGAGGGGTTACTGAGATGGTCTGGACATGTAGAGAGGATGGAACGAAATAGAATGACTTCGAGAGTGCATAAATACGTAGTGGAGGGAAGGCGGGGTAGGGGTCGGCCTAGGAAAGGTTGGAGGGAGGGGGTAAAGGAGGTTTTGTGTGCAAGGAGCTTGGACTTCCAGCAAGCATGAGTGAGCGTATTAGATAGGAGCAAATGGAGACAAATGGTCTTTAGGACTGACGTGCTGTTGGAGTGTAAGCAAGGTAACATTTATGAAGGGATTCAGGGAAACCGGCAGGCCAGACTTGATTCCTGGATATGAGAAGTACAGTGCCAGCACTCTGAAGGAGGGGTGTCAATGTTGCAGTTTTTTAACTGTAGTGTAAGCATGCCTCTGGCAAGACAGTGATGAAGTGAATGATGGTGAAAGTTTTCTCTTTCTCAGGCCACCCTGCCTTGGTGGGAAACGGCTGATGTGTTTATAAAAAAAAAATGAAAAACAAAAGCTTCTTTGTGACTCGCCTTTTTGACTCGCCTAATTGTGCAGGTAGGGTCCACAAAGGACACATGAATATCTATATAGGGTACTCAATTGTGGGATTTACAAAAAAAACATAGTGCCAAGGAACCAGCATACTCTAAAAATAGGAGTAAATGGCTGAAATGGGCTCCAAGAGGAGGTATTAGGCACTACAGCTACTGGAAACTTCAAAATTATTAACATTACATGTTTTTATATGTCAGCCATTTCCCACTGAGATAGGGTGCTCAAGAGAACAAAAAGAAAATGTTCCCTTTGACTATGTTTCTAACCGCCTTTCCAGAAGGAGATTTTTCTTTTGCTTTGTTTTATTTATAAAGCACTAGAACCATTTGTTTATTCAGTTTTTTAACAAACAGCATTGAGTTTTTTTTTTACTTTATCAAATTCATACTATCATTATCAACCTGCTAATATCATGATCAGTCCACTGTCATATTACAGAACTCATAATCATAACATAAAACCCACTGAAGTAAATTTTTCACATTTCATGTCCATAATCCATTCTGTGTCATTGACTATGTCAACAAATTTAGATAAAATAGGAAACAACCCTGCTATTCATGCCAAAAAGAATGCTGGATTTGAAACCGCTAGAATTTATGAGTATGTATACGTCAAACATGGTGGCTCGTAAGACGTATATATATGACCGAAACAGTCAAAGGGTTAAGTATTAAAATTTAATAACCCAGTTAGTATAAACAAATGCCATGTAATAGAAACCGAATGAATAAAAATATGCCTTATGAAAATATAAACTGTATATGTAATTATATTTAACCCTTTGACTGTTTCGGTTGTATATATGTCTTACGAGCCACCGTTTATGACGTATATATACTCGATAAATTCTAATGGCTTCAAATCAAGCAGGAGAAAGCTGGTAGGCCCACATGTGAGAGAATGGGTCTGTGTGGTCAGTGTGCACCATATAAAAAAATCCTGCAGCACTCAGTACATAATGAGAAAAAAAAACTCCGACCGTTTTTTTAATTAAAATGCCGATTTTGTGGTCTATTTTCGTGTAGTAATTATGGTTGTATTCTCATTTTCTTGGTCTCATTTGATAGAATGGAAAACATATTATAGAAATGGAGGTGATTTTGATTGGTTTTACTATGAAAAGAAACTTGAAATGGAGCTCAAACTAGGGGAAATACTTGACTTTTGCCGATGTTCAAAAGTAAACAAATGATGTCATTTTACAATAAATGTCCAAGTAGCCATTCTAATATGCAGTCATGAATGAGTTGACATTATTTATACAATTATTACAATATTGCAGTAGTCTCCATAACAGTAAATTTTCTATTTTTTGTTTGAATAAAAATTCAAAATAGAAAGCAAGAGTAATATCAGAGGGGCCTGAAGATGTGACTGATGAACAAAGAAAATGTTATTTTAGAGCCAAGAATGTCTGCATTGTTCATTCTGGACCTTATTTTGAAATTGTCATGTTTTTTTAATTTTTGTGAAATTGGCCAAATTGCAAATTTTTGACCACATTACTGGGTAGTTGAAATCGGTAAATAGGCAGTTTCTTGTACTCAATTGATAGAAAAAATGGAGTTCTAAAGAAATAGCTATGAGTTTGGTCTACTGCAACAATGGAATTAGCCGAAAATAGGACTCAAAGTGGGCAAAATTGCCGATTCGTAAATATCGCCGAGGTCGCTAACTTCGCGAGAGCGTAATTCCGTCAGTTTTTCATCAAATTTTGTTCTTCTGGTGTCATTACAATTGGAAAAAGATTCTCTATCATTTCATAACATTTTTTTTTTTTTTCGGAAATTTTGTGACACTAGGAGACACCTCGGGATTTGGGGTTGCGACAGTCAAGGGGTTAATGGACACTGGTCAATTAATAATTTTAAAATTTGTTTTCCTACAAATACATACTGTAAGTGATTACAACACAATCAATAAAAAACAAAAAATTGGTTAAAATATACTTACTAATATGCCAGGAGTAAGGGGCTAGTAACCCCCTTCTCCTGTATACATTACCGAAGTTAAAAAGAGAAACTTTTCTTTTCCTTTTTTGGCCACCCTGCCTCCGTGGGATATGCCCGGTGCATTGAAAGATGACTACTTACTATAAAAGAGAATACATGATGAATTGTAATTTACCTTCTTTAGTGCCATCTGGCCATCCATATGATTAGCTAATGAAGTGAAGTATAATAAGGTCTCATCTGGTCGAAGATTCTGATCCACAACATCATTTCCGTACATGCTAACAATGGCTACCACCAGGAAGAGGTGAAAGTAGTCAGTCTGATAGTTACTCCAACATGCCTCCCACATAGCCATAGCCTGGTCCTCTGAGAACTCTCGCTTGAAACAACTATGGTGGTGATATGATGAAAAAGAGAAAAGAATACTAAATTATTCTATTTTGCATTATTAAAAAGGTGTGGCGCCCTGCAGGTATGGTGCCATTTATGAAAATTTTACACTGTATATTCATTTATAGCCTCAAAACAAGTGCCAGGTAAACATTCAATTGTGGCAATAATGATAATCAAGCATAATACACGATGGTTATCAAGTTTCACATTCAAAGCTGCGGGTAACAACCAGTTTTCTCAAAATACCTTGGATATGAACCCTTTCTAATGGTTCACAAGAAAACTACCCTATGCTACAACTAGGCTCAAAACTAATGCATAAATAATTTAACCTAATTATCCTAACATAGCATATACTAAACAATAAAAACAATTTATAACTTTGAGATACTGTAGAGCAATGTAAAAAGAATTAAAAGAAGAAATTCAACTAAGAATACAGACTTCTTTAACCCTTAAATGGTCCAAACAGATCGACGTTCAAATTCGTAGTGCTACAACAGCAGATCTACTTTTTTTTACATATTTTCAAATATAACAAAAAAAATGTAGATAAAAGTTTTTTTACACATTTTCAAATGTAAAACAAAAAAGAAGATCTACATTTTTTTTACATACTTTCAGATGTTGAAAAAACGTATATATACGTTTGGACCATTTAAGGGTTAAGGTATACCACAGCACTGGATTGTATCTAATGTAAATACTTATACTGCACATGTATGTATGAATACATGTATATATACCACTGCTTCACCCATCTCACTACCAGATCACCCATCACTCTCCTCCCCGATCAAGAACTGTAAACAATTACAGGAATATATATATATCCTACTATATTATCAAAGAACAGAGCATTAGTAGTAAGTACTACAAAGATCCCTCAATATTAACATACAGGAGTATCCAACGATGACAGAAGAGCAGATCCATCCCATCTTGTTGTTTGGCCATGTGACTGAAGAAGCGTGGTGTCATTATTCGCAATAACTCTCGTAAGTAACTCTGTAAAATGTTTGCAAGTAAATCACTTCAAAAAATCAGGTAGCAAAATACTGAGAAAAGCAAAATTATGTGCACAGCAGACTATATCTGCTCAGGAAAAGGGCTGAATGAAGAGATGCATTAAATAACACAATAACAATAGTGAGCATTAAATTATATAACAAAGTAAGCTTAAAAGAATTAATTTACCAAGTTCTTTTCCATGTCCTCATCTTTGGGTGATGTTACAAAGATAGTCTTACTCATAAGACCAGTGAAACACCAGAATACATCAGCTTCATTACGCACTTCAGCCAATATTGGGGCTAGAATATCAGACATTCCTTGTGTATACCTGTAAGGAAAAATTACCAACTAATACAATAAAGTAACTGGAACTTAATTTAATGAAAAAGAGAGCCTCTTGTGTAAAGGTTACTCTTTCATTACACATGATGAAACTAAGGTGACTAAGTTAATTTTAAGATTAAAATTATCCATAAAATACAAATAAGGTTATAATGAAATATTAATTTTTATGTCTAGTAATTAGACACAAGGTCAGTTAAAAACAGTTTGTTTTCTTTATTGTTTCTATCAGTTACCAGAGTAACTTTACACTAGATCAATGGTCATATCTTGTAATGGGAAGTAAAGCAAAAATGAAGGCTTTTATATACAAACTGAAAAAAAAGTGTTCATGGGCAACACTCCCTGACTTTCCAAATGCACTATCATGGACAAAGTATTATTACAAGACAGTTCAAACGTGTGCCAAGCCATAAGGGTTCCAGTAACTTTGAATGTAACCTAAACTGTCATTGGCTAAACATACATATGGAAGGGCAAATACATTACAGTATAAGTACTGTATTGTATAGCTATTGTACAAATTACATTCCTGAAAACTCTTTAAAAAAAATGAAATTATTAAAGTACTCCGAGTACACTTACCCCATGACTGGGTTATGCACAGCAAAGTTTAAGAGAATTTTCTTCATCTTCTCCAAATTTGGATTATCATTGCCAGCAAAACAAGGGTTGGATCGATCAGTGCGCACAACATCTTTTTCCACAGTGCACTGAACGTTTCTCCTGAACCAATCCAGGTCTTCACCAGACATGCTCTCTCTCACGGTGCTAAAGTATGTTAAAAGGAGATAAATTAAGCATATTATCTGCAGTTACATTCAGAGCTTAAACATTAAATTTTGAATGAGTTCTACAATCTTAAATTTTTAAAATATGAGCAAATATTTAGAATTTAAATTTTTAAACCAACTATCCAAGTAATACCCAGATTTTACACCTATATATTTTATGTATACATCAACAGAGCATGCCATCTTTGATCAGATCAACAAGGCATGCCATCTTTAATCAGATATATCAGGTCAGCAGATAGCATATAAAACAAAATTATAGACCATCAAACAGTAAGAATGAGGGAAGGAAGGAGAGTTGAAGAGGAAAAGTGAGGTGGATCTAAGTAATATTATAACATCCTTGAGATTAAGATTAAAAGATAAAACATATACAGTGTTTAAGAAAAGTAAAAAAAAAAAATAAAACTATAAAAATATTCTGTACTTGATCTTATGATAGAGTTGATGTTTTTCCTCCATAATAGCTTGGCGCTGGTCAAATGTCGTACGGAAATCATAATAATGAAGCAGGAAGGGCCACACATTAGCTCTCAGCTCAGGTTCCACACCACCAAAGAAAATAGCTCTCCGAAGTGCAAGATCATCCTCTATTTGACCTTCCTAAATGAGAAGAAAAAAAAATTTTGTACCTTAAATAACATATTGTATAACGTTTTAAAAATCTAATAACAATAATGCAAACTAATACAATTTTGTTATGAATTAATTTTACACAATATAATGCAAAGTCAACTACTGTTCTTGACATGTTTGAGACAATAATTATTTCAATATTGCATTCCCATTGTAATCTCCTGACATCCAGCATATTAAACATAAAATAATGATTTTCAAAAGATTTAACAATTGAGCACATGATAAACTGTTGAAAAATATAGCAAAAATAAAATAATAAATATTTTCCTTACAGATGTATGACTGCACCCCTGGGAGAGTGCCATACGAAACAGTCCTTCAGAGACCTCACACGTGAACTATTTCTAATAACGTTATGCAAGCATTACTAACCTCATTAAAGTAGGTGATCCAAGTTTCAGGATCTAAGCATTTGTGTTGGCCCTCTTCTGGATGAAGTTCAGATTCACTGACGTGAGGCCTTGAATAGATATCATTACATCAGAGAGCTTGCAACTAATCAGCACTTCAATGGATACCAAACTACTGTACATTCAAAAGCATGTAATATAAAAATTAAGCCCCAATCCAGAAAATAATACTTTAAACTATCATCTACCAACTTAGAATAAACACATCTTCCTGCAAACTCAAAATTTGGGTATTTTTGGCAAAATTATTTTACTGGGATTAATCTAACAAACTATTCAAGCTACAAATTGTGTACATTATTATACATAATGCCAACCAGAGAATGCTATAAAATATTCACCAAGTAGTTATTTATATGAGAATCAAGCTTTTATTTTTCCTATTGGCTGCACAATTAATAAAAATTCTGCCTGCCTCCAAAAAAACATAAAAAAAATTCAAGTACAATAACCAATTATTATGCCCTCTGCATCAGCCATAATTTCTAAAAATTCATCAAACTAATTTTCAGCTAACATTCTTCAGTCCTTCAAATATTACTATACAATGTATCATTTAACCATTCAACTGTTCCTAAGCCTACATTATAACTGCAATAAATTGTTTATAAACAGCCGTGAATTAAAGGACACATGAAAGGAACAAAATACAGATAGTTATATAGTGGTCACCCGAGTTTCGGCCATAATTCGTTCCATAAGGCTGTTCGAGTGCCGTTATCAAACAAATTTGTTCCCATAAGGAATAATGTAAATTAACGCGTCCGTTTCAGACCCCCAAAAAATACACTTACAAAAAGCACTTACACTAATACACTTACATAATTGTTAGAGTTGGGAGGTGTACGAAACTCAGGGTAACAATGTATAATTATTCCTTCTTAATTCTCATTCAGTGAAATAATCAAAAAGAATATACAGTACACACCAAATTTCATGAACCTTGATTTAACTGACTTCAGATATGCAGGACAAAATACACTAGGTTAATAATAAACAAAGTCTGATAGTTACTGAATTATCTGTTACTGTTGTGAGAACAGGAAAACAATTTTATATCTATCAAACACAATCCCCATTGCCTGGAACTTGCTTTACTATACCAGTCCTTTAATTCAAGGGTTTACTGTATATCTTTCTACCACGGACTTTTATCATGAGTTTTAGGGAACACTGATCTATCTGACATACTGTACAGTATTCTGTAATTTTAGAGTAAACTCCTTTATCAAAGAGCTTCTTATACTGTAAATGCAAAATGACTTTTATAATTGATTCTTAATAATTTAAAAAATATATACAGTACTTCCATATATTCTCCTAAACAAATAAGTTTGTGTGAGCCCAAGGTTTTATGTATTTGTGAATCAACATCAGTGAGGATGCAGGAATGTGTGCAGAGATATCCCAAGAAAACTTCTGCCCAAAGAAAACAGTTTTTAACCCTTAAACTGTCCAAACGTAGATCTACGTTTTTTCAACATTTGAAAGTATGTAAAAAAACATAGATCTTCTTTTTGTTTTTTTACATTTGAAAACGTGTAAAAAAACTTTGATCTACTTTTTTTTTTGTTATATTTGAAAATATGTAAAAAATGTAGATCTACTTTTGGAGCACTATGCATGTGAACATAGATCTGTTTGGACAGTTTAAAGGTTAAAACCTGGGTATGAAGAAAGAGAAGAATGGACAGAAAGGGGAAAGAGGATGTGTGAGGAAATTTCATAAATGGAATGTGCATTAGAAAATCAAAGGCTTAAATACCAAAGGAGTATGTGCATCTGGAAATAAAGGAAGATAATATGTTGAAAAAAATAGAAGAGTGAACAAATGTGATAAATGACAAAAGAGAAGATATATTAAAGTCTGTGAGTGTGGTTACAGTGATGGCATAAAGATTAAGGAAAAGAACAATAATGTAATTATTACTATTATTATTAATATTATTATTTTATCCTAGGTAGTAGGTTGGTAGACAGCAACCACCCAGGGAGGTACTACAATCCTGCCAAGTGAGTGTAAAACAAAAGCCTGTAATTGTTTTACATGATGGTAGGATTGCTGGTGTCTTTTTTCTGACTCATAAACATGCGAGATTTCAGGTATGTCTTGCTACTTCTACTTACACTTAGGTCACACTACACTTGCATGTACAAGCATATATGTACACTAGACTGGTCCAAAAATACACATTAATTTTAAAACTTCAAAGGAAGTGCACTCCACAATGTAATTTTTATTCCACTATTTGAGCCTGTACTGTGTGCCAAAATTTGGACTATTTAATGCACATTTAAAGGTTGCACAAAACTTCATCTTTAGCTTCTCTCTATTGCGGATGGCATCCTCAGCACTGAGTACACAAAGTGCATCAGAATGGTGATTAGTAGAATGTCCCCTCGAGTTTTTCTCAACTGCCTGGCTTCCGACGTGAGGTGACGTACTTTGCATGTCACAATTCTTTCACCTGAAGTAGAACCTACCTTTCCCAAAAAGCTTCAAGAAGTCCTGTGAAGCCTGCTGTGCCATCTGGACAAAGGCAAGGATCCCTACCCAGCAGTTAGATTCCTGCATGTGGAAGTTGAAGAAGTTAATGCGGGAATACCAGAACCTCAAGAAGGAAGGAAGAGTCAGAAGCGACTTCGTGAAGGCAGAGGCCGAGGCAGCTTCATCCTTGGTGGCAGCACCTCAGCTGTCTTCCATGTCCTCCTCCAGCCTCAAGTCCGAGGGCAATGAAGACTGCTTCTACTCCCAGTTGCTTGACAGCGCTTACGGCGCCTCCCAAGCAACTGAAGAACATCTTCACCTTTCCTGCTGTTACGTCAGCCCTCGATCGAGTCAACCTTCTGGACCATGAAGCTGTGTTCCTGGGAGGAGCCATGGTAGGGGCTCTTGGCCATGGTCTCTCGAGTCTGACCCTCTCCAGAAGCTCAGTCTGGTGATCTAGGCAGCAGGCATGGCTTCGAGCAGACACTCAAGATCAAGAAGTCTTCACTCCCAAAGATCCACTTCTCCTGCACTAGGATGCCAAGCTTCTCCCAGACTACTGGGGATAGGGGAAGGGTGGACTGTGTAGCTGTGCTCGTTACTGGTCCGAGCGATTTCAAGAAATTGTTGGCTGTGCTGAAGACAGAAAGGGGAATGGGAGATGCACAGGCAGAAGCATGCATGGTGGCTCATGACAGTTGGTCACTCCATCTTCATGTTCAAGACCCGGTCTTCGATACGACAGCCTCGAACGTGGGTCTCCACCCTGGAACCTGTACGCTGATCAAAGAAGGGCTTGGGAGGGAACTCGTGTGGACAGCTTACCATTATCATGTCTTAGAGATTGCCCTCTCCAGTGTTTTCAGGGTAGTCTTTGGGCCGATTTAAAGAAGTGAATACAGGAGGCCGCACATATACAGCGCCCTCTTTTTGGTGTTCCATGTTTTCATTGGTTTTCAACTGAGCCATTGTGCATTGTGTTCGGTGCTTTTATCGCTTTTCCGCCATTGTCATACAACAGTTGCATAAGGGAAGAGCAAAAGGCACCATATTTTAGGGTATTTATTTTACTTTTATACCTAGCTGTATTGACCATTTAATATATGATAGTGTAAACACATTATCAGGCATTTTAGGAGTGATTTTTGTTTACTGTAGTGGGGTCACGAACCTAAGAGCTGTACAAATGGGGCCCTCCTATACTGTACTATAATATAAATTACTTGAGCATTAAAATTTTATGATTTCTGTAAACCTAGAAATAAAATATAATTAACAATGCATACTTACATGCAAACAAGAAATTGCTTAAGTGCTGCTTCTGGTGTTGAACACTCCTCATCCCTGGGTTTGATTAAAAAGTTCCAGTCTTCAAATACTGCTGCCAGCTTGTCTAGGCCTCCATAATGAAAATGAAAGATCTTGTATTGGCTCTCCCGGCTGGCAATTACTAACTGGCCACAAGTATGGTCTTGATCACTGAAGAAAAGTCGGAGAGACTTACTCTGCCCTATGGAACATAATTCACATTTCAACGTTAAAATATGCTCATGAATATTTTAGAAAAAGCTAATAAATCAATAATGGCTACTGAAATAAGAAAAACTTAAATTACAGTATTGTACTATGCTGTGTTTCATTATTACACATTTATATTATGTTGCATATCCTCCCTACTGCTCTTCTTCCCTCTTCATATGCCTTCTTAATTCTTTTCTTCCCTTTTTCTCCACCCTCTTCCACCTCCACCCTCCTCTTCCTCTTACCTCAACCTCTTCCTCCTCCTACCAATGCAAAAAATAATTTTTCCTGAATTTTGAGCTATTGCAGAACATGTATTTTCCTGAACTGTAGGCTAATGTAAATAAATTTTAGGTGTAAGCACAAGATTATCCTCTAACTTCCTCACTTAAATTTATTTTGAATGACCAAAACTAAAAAGAGAAAGTACTCACTGACATCAATACTGAAGATGCCACACTTGTGCTCTCTTCTGACTGGAGACGATCCTCCATCAACAGGAGTTGGGCAGAATGAGGACAATGATGAATCTGGGAAAGCTAAGTTGGCAGAATAGGCCATCGATTCTGCACTTCTTTCATACCAATACTGTTCTCCTGAAGATGGTACAAATAATGTTATCAAAATGTTAAGAGACTAACTAAGACATTAAAAAAAAAAGACTGCTTTCAAAATGTGAAAATAAAGATTATCTTTTGCTTAAATAAATGCAAGTACTTTTGTTTAAACTGTGTAAAAGAAAAATATTACACTGAGTGCACTGTGGGCCACTGTTTGGGTCACCCTGCCACCTGAGGCAGGGTGGCCCAAAAAGAAAGCAAAACTTCCTCTTTTGAAATTTAGTAATTTATACAGGAGAAAGGGTTACTAGCCCCTTACTCCCGTTATTTTAGTCGCCTCTTATGACACACATGGCTTACGGAGGAAGAATTGAGAATGATCATATGTATACACTGAAATAGTAATTATAAATAATAATGCATGTCGTAAGAGGCAACTAAAATGCTTGGAGCAAGGGGCTGGTAACCCCTTCTCCTGTATATATTACTACATTTAAAAAGAAACACTTTCTTAAAAAGACTTAAAAAGAAAAACTTTTGTTTTTCTTTTTAAGTCACCCTGCCTCGATGAGATATGGCTGGTTTGTTGAAAAAAATAATTGCCAACCCCATAAGGGTCATACAGCACCTGGGAAATGGAAGGGTTTGATCTATGGAAGGAAAGAGCAGCTCAGATTCCCTAGATCCAAAGCCCTACACCAGCACTGATGCATCTCCCTTTGAAGGAATGCATAGGAAGCAAGTTTCCAAATATACAGTAAATAAAACTAAAACCAAATGTCTTGGTAAATGTTTAGAATTATACTAACCATCTTGTATGGAAACTTACTGTATAGTACAATGCTGACAGTATAAAAAAGATTCTATTTATCTATCTTGGAATTAAAACAATGCATGGCTTAACATTACATAGGGTATACATTATAGTGTGTGTGCCTGAAAAATAATTATGTAATGGAAATTTACTATATTTTTTATTATATACAAAATAACCTTCGGGCTTACCATTACCAGCAGTGAAGTAGTGAGGTGGAGTCAAATGTGGTTCAGGAGATGATTCCAAGCTATCTTCTCTTTCACTCGTGAGTTGTCCCAGAGAACTTGAGCTTTGTATCGTCTCTGTGATGGTTAAACTTTCTCCTAGTTTGTCCCCGTCTGAACTGCTGTCTGAAGAGGATATATATCGGCACTTCTGGCCATCAACTATGTCATCACCATCATCTGTTTCTTCGTTAATAACAGAACTAAGAGGAACAGACACTCTGTTTTCTTCATGGGTATTATCTTCACTAATTTTATTGATGGCGAGTTCTGAACCTTCTTTTAAAACTGAAACAGTCTCACTTTGCTCATTGTCTGGTAGCTGCCATTCTTTCTGTATATCATTTGTATTGTGTTTACATATGTTCTCGTTAACTTTATCAGAAATTTCTTTACCTTCTTCTGTATCACAAGTTACCTCATCATTGCCTTCTTTTATTTCATTATCCCTCTCACCTTTGTCTTGCTTTGCTTCATCACCATCATCTTCAACATATTTCTGTTGGCCATCACTAATGTTTCCATCACTATTGGGACTAGCCTCACCCTTGGACTGTGTAACTTCACTAGTCGTATCCAAGGTGGAGATACCAGACGTAGACATTGTAGCAGCATCATCAAATGAAGTCTGTGATCAAAGGAATGTGAGAAAATTGTCAAAAAAAATAATCGTGAAGGGCTAATATTGGACAGTTTTTTACCACAATGGCTATCATCCACTTAAGTAGGGTGATCCACAATAAAGAAACATTCAATATAATTCACACAATAGTTATTCTGTCAGAAGTGTACAGCCATCACAACTTAAATGACTCTCCAAAATGTAACATCACTAATCCACCTTCAGAGAGCAGGCACTGTACTTTTTACCTCTAGGACTGGGTAACCAGTTTTCCTAAATACCTTCATAAATACGTACTAACTTGTACGCTCTCTAACAGCAGATCAGATCCTTAAAACCCTCTGTCTCCACTCACCCTAAGCAAACACATTCACACGTGCTGTGTGAATACTCAAGTCCCTATCACTAAAAAACTCCTTCACATCCTTCCTCCATCCCTTCCTGGGATTACCCCTTCTCCTCCTACTGTCTATCCCATATTTATATACCTTCTTTGTCATCTTATTCTACTCTATCCTTTCTAAGAGTCCAAACCACCTCAATGACTCTGCCCTCTGAATAATATTTTTTGTAACTCCATATTTTTTATATTACAAAAAATGAAAGGCAATATATTAAAAGGAAGAGAGCAGTGATGAATGATACATCTAGTTTGCATAGATTATTAATGAATGATAGAAAAATACTACTTTTATGAGGCTAACTGTTTATTAAATATGTAAAAAATAATTCACTATGTGCTCTGGTTACATTTTACATAATTTTGTATACTGTCATGAGTTAAGTTCATATAATAATGAATTCATGATTAACTGTTGACAGCAGTAAATGAGCTTTTCATCATTAAAAAATAAATCAGATTCTTACTTTCAAGAAACCACTGTAGTTATGTACTTACTTTTCTTAATGTACCACTGCTATCATGTAATACCAAAGAAGAGACAGACATTGATTCAGAGTCTGATGTTGGATATGGAGAATTACTGCGACTGCTTCCCTCAGTGCTGAAAATTAAAAAAGTAGTATGTACTATACATCCATCCAGTTTTATAAAAAAGAAATACGTACAGCATTCTAAGGCAACTCGTAAACTGTACTATATTTCTTGAAGTGATAAATCTATGTGGATCATTCAGCTTAAAGAATGCTGGAGGATTAATTCTCTGTTCATTAATGGTGGCCTTGTCTCTGACCAGTCAGGCTGTTGGTGATCACTGATATATTATAACAACATATTACTGAATTTGAAAATTAGCTAGTAAGTAATAATGTATTATAACTGAAGAGAACAAAGATATCTATCTACTCTGACAAAAAGAAATCAACTCATTTACAAGTAACTCCAGGAAATTGTGGTGCATTAGCTGTAATTAGCTCAGTGGTAAAGAATTCAATTTATAATTGAAATGACCTAGGTTCAATCCCTTGGCAACACATGACACATGGGTAATATCCTTACAGCTTCCTCTGTTCATCTACCAGTAAGCATACTATTATGTGTCACATTACAGAGGTCTGAAAGACCCCAACAGATATAAGCCAGTTTGACTTCCTTTGGTATCCTGGATTAATCTTCTGAAGAAAGTCTCTCTCTTTCACTTTAAAAAAAAAAAAGTTGTACAGCAGTTATGTATATTCCCAAATTCTTAGTAAATCATTTTGAATGAAAGAAATAGTTTATTTGGTCAAGAAACAACACATCATGTGGAAACATATTTGAAGTGCAGTACAATCTAGCATGGCTGACATGCTTACTAAATTAGATTTTGTGTGCATGTGTACAGTAATTGCATACAAAAGTTCATCACAGCATTTATCACTAAATTAACTGTACAAGATGATAATTTTAATGAAGTAGAAATCTTGAAATAAAATTGGGGAAAAATGCCCCAAAATAGTATAGTCCATCAATCTTGTAGAAAGTACAGTATAGGGCCATAGACGTGGCTTATATAAAATAGTATACAGTGGACCCCCGCATAACGATTACCTCCGAATGCGACCAATTATGTAAGTGTATTTATGTAAGTGCGTTTGTACATGTATGTTTGGGGGTCTGAAATGGACTAATCTACTTCACAATATTTCTTATGGGAACAAATTCGGTCAGTACTGGCACCTGAACACACTTCTGGAGTGAAAAAATATCGTTAACCGGGGGTCCACTGTACAGTGGATCCCCGGTTCGCGATGCTATCGGTATCCGATAAATCCGGTAACCGATGCATTATATCGCAGAAAATTTGCCTCGCTTCCCGATACAAAACCCGGTATGCGATGTGGTTCGTACGAGACATGTCCATGTGTGGCCTGAACTGCCCCGTGTGTGCCAGTGTTTACAAGCCAGCCAGTGTGCGTGCATCTAAGGATACATTCGGTACATTCCATATTATCCATATTATCACTGTTTTTGGTGCCTGTGTTTTGCAAAATAAGTCACCAGGGGCCCCAAGAAAGCTCCCAGTGCCAACCCTTCGAGACCAAGGGTGCTAATGACTGTTGAAATGAAGAAAGAGATAATTGCAAAGTACGAAAGTGGAGTGCGTGTGTCGGAGCTGGTCAGGTTGTATAGTAAACCCCAATCAACCATCTCATTTGTGAAAAGGCTAGGCAGTTGCATGACGATTTGGTAAAAAAATTGCCTGCAACTAGTGGTGATGTGAGTGAATTTAAGGCCAGCAAAGGTTGGTTTGAAAGATTTAAGAATCGTAGTGGTATACATAGTGTGATTAGGCATGGTGAGGCTGCCAGTTATGTCGTGCGACAGAAGTCCAGTGACTCTCAACCTGGTCCTAGTGGCATTAAAAGAAGAAGGGAAGTAACCCCAGAAAAGGACTTGCTACCTTAAGTCCTAATGGAGGGGGATTCCCCTTCTAAATGCTAACACCATCCACACTCTCCCCTCCTCCCATCCCATCAATCATCACCAGATCTTCATTAAAGATAAGTGTCAATTATTCTTTCGTTATTTATTATTTATTGTTATTGTAATTACTATTCTATTGCATTAACTTAATATTTCATGTGGTAAAAGTTTTTTTTTTCATACTTATGGGTGTCTTGCATGGATAATTTAATTTCCATTATTTCTTATGGGGAAAATTGATTCGCTTTCCGATATTTTTGGTTTACGATGAGCTCTCAGGAACGGATTAGTATCGCGAACCGGGGGTCCACTGTATTTGACTAGCATCTGAGGGAAGGTATAAAAAATGTAAGTAAAACAGTTGAAAGGATGATGTAATATGGATTTTGCTGTGGGTGACTCTTCCAACCTATGCTAAGATTTCAGTGTTAAGTGAAGATTCTGCACGATTCAAGGAAGGCTTTTATTGGAGAAACAAACTAAGAAAGCAACTGGCCTGCTTACTTCATTTGAGAAATAAGGTCATGATTCCGTCGAAGACGCTCATTGGGAATCCAGTTCAGGTGCAGTGTGGTTCCATGAGTCATATCTGCTTGACACTTGATAACCAAGTAACCAGGATGGTGTACCTTTTCTCCATCTCCACGATAACGTGAGGGAGGGTGTACACAAACATTGTTCTTACCTAATGACAAAAGATTAATTGCTTCAGCAGTTTACATGATGAGTGTAACATACAACATTAAAATCATTCAGAGATTTACTTACGTAGTACTATCTTCAGTCATATTTTCTCTCTAATAAACTAATATACTTCCACTGCCCATAATTGTCACATATTATCCCACTGACTAAAATAACACTGTTTTTCTCTAAAAAACATAGTACATCTACTTCTGTCTTCCTAGTCCACCTCTTCATTTCTTATCTGGCTCTACTTTCACTTTCTATCAGAACTCTCAAACATGAACTCATATTCACTCATTTCATTTATGAATATACATGTATACAGTGGTACCTCAAATTTCGGTCTTAATTCATTCCAGAAGGCTGTTTAAGAGCTGTTGCTGAATGAATTTGTTCACATGAGGAACAAATAAGTTACTATGCACTCTCAACATCTTCCTGCAGCACATCAATTACCTTGATTTGTTTTAAATCTCAAGTTTTAACAAAATAATGCCCCTTATTCATCATATCAATCACATATAAAACTAATCTCAAAGAAAAGTGCTATTTTTTAATTAAAAACTAAGCAATAAAAATGATTTTAAAAACAATTATATCACTTTTCAACTTACAGAAAACAATATCTCCATCTTCATAAGCTGGCTTGGAGTTATCAGAATAGGTTATGCCCAAAAAGCTTGACGCTCTTCGCAAGATGCCGTTGAATGACATTTTGGTTTGCAAGAGTAATCTTGGTAGGTACACCCAAATGCTTAAAGCATCTTTTTCTTCAATCCCATCTCGAAAACTGTAAAAAAATGTACATATTTTATGCTACAGCATAAGTATATGTATATTAAAGCATCTAATAATTTAAATGTTCTTCTCCTTACCTTAAAAAACATTTTTACAGTAGGTACAGCACTGTATTTAAAAAATATTTATTTTATTTTTCTCTTAATGATTTCTTCAGCTTTGCATTACAGTAGCCTATTGTTTTACTATTGTAGCAGTTGATGGTACCGATATATTAGCAGATGAGTGCTTAGGCACATTACACAGCAGCAATGTTGTGGCACCTACCACAGCAGCAGTGAGCTGTGACACCTACCACAGCAGCAGTGAACTGTGGCACGTACCACAGCAACAGTGTGTGTTGTGGTACCTACCACACCAGCAGTGTGAATTATGGCACCTACCACAGCAGAAGAGTGTGCTGTGGCACCTACCACAGCAACAGTGTGAGATGTGACACCTACCACAGCAGCAGTGTGAGTTGTGGCACCTACCCCAGCAGCAGTGTGTGTTGTGCCACCTACCATAGCAGCAGTGTGAGTTGTGGCACCTACCACAGCAACAGAGCGTGTTGCAGCACCTACCACAGCAGCAGTGTGAATTATAGTACCTACCACAGCAGCAGAGTGTGTTGCAGCATCTATCACAGCAGCAGCGTGAGTTGTGGCACCTACCACAGCAGCTGTGAGTTGTAGTACCTACCATGGCAGAAGTGAGTCGTGGCACCTAGCACAGCAGCAGTGTTGTGGCACCTACCACAGCAGCAGTGTTGTGGCACCTACCATGGCAGCAGTGTGAGTTGTGGCATGTACCACACCAGCAGTGTGAATTATGGCATCTACCACAGCAGAAGAGTGTTGTGGCACCTACCACAGCAACAGTGTGAGATGTGACACCTACCACAGCAGCAGTATGAGTTGTGGCACCTACCACAGCAGCAGTGTGAGTTGTGGCATCTACCACAGCAGCAGTGTGAGTTGTAGCACCTACCACAGCAGCAGAGTGTGTTGTGGCACCTACCACAGCAGCAGTGTGAGTTGTGGCACCTACTACAGCAGCAGTGTGTGTTTACCTGGAGTTTACCTGGAGAGAGTTTCGGGGGTCAACGCCCCCGCGGCCCGGTCTGTGACCAGGCCTCCTGGTGGATCAGCGCCTGATCAACCAGGCTGTTGCTGCTGGCTGCACGCAAACCAACGTACGAGCCACAGCCCGGCTGATCAGGAACTGACTTTAGGTGCTTGTCCAGTGCCTGCTTGAAGACTGCCAGGGGTCTGTTGGTAATCCCCCTTATGTGTGCTGGGAGGCAGTTGAACAGTCTCGGGCCCCTGACACTTATTGTATGGTCTCTTAACGTGCTAGTGACACCCCTGCTTTTCATTGGGGGGATGGTGCATCGTCTGCCAAGTCTTTTGCTTTCGTAGTGAGTGATTTTCGTGTGCAAGTTCGGTACTAGTCCCTCTAGGATTTTCCAGGTGTATATAATCATGTATCTCTCCCTCCTGCGTTCCAGGGAATACAGGTTTAGAAACCTCAAGCGCTCCCAGTAATTGAGGGGTTTTATCTCCGTTATGCGCGCCGTGAAAGTTCTCTGTACATTTTCTAGGTCGGCAATTTCACCTGCCTTGAAAGGTGCTGTTAGAGTGCAGCAATATTCCAGCCTAGATAGAACAAGTGACCTGAAGAGTGTCATCATGGGCTTGGCCTCCCTAGTTTTGAAGGTTCTCATTATCCATCCTGTCATTTTTCTAGCAGATGCGATTGATACAATGTTATGGTCCTTGAAAGTGAGATCCTCCGACATAATCACTCCCAGGTCTTTGACGTTGGTGTTTCGCTCTATTTCGTGGCCAGAATTTGTTTTGTACTCTGATGAAGATTTAATTTCCTCATGTTTACCATATCTGAGTAATTGAAATTTCTCATCGTTGAACTTCATATTGTTTTCTGCAGCCCACTGAAAGATTTGGTTGATGTCCGCCTGGAGCCTTGCAGTGTCTGCAATGGAAGACACTGTCATGCAGATTCGGGTGTCATCTGCAAAGGAAGACACGGTGCTGTGGCTGACATCCTTGTCTATGTCGGATATGAGGATGAGAAACAAGATGGGAGCTAGTACTGTGCCTTGTGGAACAGAGCTTTTCACCGTAGCTGCCTCGGACTTTACTCTGTTGACGACTACTCTCTGTGTTCTGTTAGTGAGGAAATTATAGATCCATCGACCGACTTTTCCTGTTATTCCTTTAGCGCGCATTTTGTGCGCTATTACGCCATGGTCACACTTGTCGAAGGCTTTTGCAAAGTCTGTATATATTACATCTGCATTCTTTTTGTCTTCTAGTGCATTTAGGACCTTGTCGTAGTGATCCAGTAGCTGAGACAGACAGGAGCGACCTGTTCTGTGTTGTGGCACTTACTACAGCAGCACTGTGTGTTGTGGCACCTACCACAGCAACAGTGGTGTGGCACCTACCACAGCAGCGGTGTGTGCTGTGGCACCTACCCCAGCAGCAGTGTGTGTTGTGGCACCTACCACAGCAGCACTGTGTTGTGGCACCTACCACAGCATCAGTGTGTGTTGTGGCACCTACCACAGCAGCAGTGTGTGTTGTGTCACCTACCACAGCAGCAGCAGAGTGTGTTGTGGCACTTATCATAGCAGCAGTGTGTGTTGTGGCACCTACCACAGCAGCAGTGTTGTGGCACCTAACACAGCAGCAGTGTGCATTGTGGCACCTACCACAGCAGCAGTGTGTTGTGGCACCTAACACAGCAGCAGTGTGCATTGTGGCACCTACCACAGCAGCAGTGTGTTGTGGCACCTAACACTGCAGCAATGTGTGTTGTGGCACCTACCAGAGCAACAGTGTGTTGTGGCACCTACCACAGCAGCACTGTGTTGTGGCACCTACCACAGCAGCAGTGTGTTGTGGCCCCTACACAGCAGCAGTGTGTGTTGTGGCACCTACCACAGCAGCAGTGTGTGTTGTGGCACCAACCACAGCAGCAGTGTTGTGGCACCTACCACAGCAGCAGTGTGTTGTGGCACCTACCACAGCAGCAGTGTGTTGTGGCACCTACCACAGCAGCAGTGTGTTGTGGCCCCTACCACAGCAGCAGTGTGTGTTGTGGCACCTACCACAGCAGCAGTGTGTGTTGTGGCACCTACCACTGCAGCAGTGTGTTATGGTACCTACCACAGCAGCAGTGTGTTGTGGCACCTACCACAGCAGCAGAGTGTGTTGTAGCACCTACCAGAGCAGTAGTGTTGTGGCACCTACCACAGCAGCAGTGTGTGTTGTGGCACCTACCACAGCAGCAGTGTGTGTTGTGGCACCTACCACAGCAGCAGTGTGTGGTGGCTAAAGCTCCCGCTTCACACACGGAGGGCCCGGGTTCGATTCCCGGCGGGTGGAAACTCCGACACGTTTCCTTACACCTATTGTCCTGTTCACCTAGCAGCAAATAGGTACCTGGGTGTTAGTCGACTGGTGTGGGTCGCATCCTGGGGGACAAGATTAAGGACCCCAATGGAAATAAGTTAGACAGTCCTCGATGACGAACTGACTTTCTTGGGTTATCCTGGGTGGCTAACCCTCCGGGGTTAAAAATCCGAACGAAATCTTATCTTATCTTATCTTACCAGAGCAGCAGAGTGTTGTGGCACCTACCACAGCAGCAATGTGTGTTGTGGCACCTACCACAGCAGCAGTGTGTGTGGCACCTACCACAGCAGCAGTGTGTGTTGTGGCACCTACCACAGCAGCAGTGTGTTGTGGCACCTACCACAGCAGCAGTGTGTGTTGTGGCACCTACCACAGCAACAGTGGTGTGGCACCTACCACAGCAGCAGTGTGTGCTGTGGCACCTACCCCAGAAGCAGTGTGTGTTGTGGCACCTACCACAGCAGCACTGTGTTGTGGCACCTACCACAGCATCAGTGTTTGTGGCACTTACCACAGCAGCAGTGTGTTGTGGCACCTACCACAGCAGCAGTGTGTGTTGTGGCACTTATCACAGCAGCAGTGTGTGTTGTGGCACCTACCACAGCAGCAGAGTGTGTTATGGCACCTACCACAGCAGCAGAGTGTGTTTTGGCACCTACCACAGCAGCAGTGTGTTGTGGCACCTACCACAGCAGCAGTGTGTTATGGCACCTACCACAGCAGCAGAGTGTGTTGTGGCACCTACCACAGCAGCAGTGTTGCGGCACCTACCACAGCAGCAGAGTGTGTTGTGGCACCTACCACAGCAGCAGTGTGTGTTGTGGCACCTACCACAGCAGCAGTGTGTGTTATGGCACCTACTACACCAGCAGAGTGTGTTGTGGCACCTACCACAGCAGCAGAGTGTGTTGTGGCACCTACCACAGCAGCAGAGTGTGTTGTGGCACCTACCACAGCAGCAGTGTGTTATGGCACCTACCACAGCAGCAGAGTGTTATGGCACCTACCACAGCAGCAGAGTGTGTTGTGGCACCTACCACAGCAGCAGTGTGTGTTATGGCACCTACCACAGCAGCAGTGTGTGTTATGGCATCTACCACAGCAGCAGTGTGTTGTGGCACCTAACACAGCAGATGAGTGTGTTGTGGCACCTACCACAGCAGCAGTGTTGTGGCACCTACCACAGCAGCAGAGTGTGTTATGGCACCTACCACAGCAGCAGTGTGTGTTGTGGCAACTACCACAGCAGCAGTGTTGCGGCACCTACCACAGCAGCAGAGTGTGTTGTGGCACCTACCACAGCAGCAGTGTGTTGTGGCACCTAACACAGCAGCAGAGTGTGTTGTGGCACCTACCACAGCAGCAGTGTTGTGGCACCTACCACAGCAGCAGAGTGTGTTATGGCACCTACCACAGCAGCAGTGTGTGTTGTGGCACCTACCACAGCAGCAGTGTTGCGGCACCTACCACAGCAGCAGAGTGTGTTGTGGCACCTACCACAGCAGCAGTGTGTGTTCTGGCACCTACCACAGCAGCAGAATGTGTTATGGCACCTACCACAGCAGCAGAG